AAAAATTTTAAAAATCAAACCAAAATGAAGCAAGCAAGCAAACAAACAAAACAACACAAAACAACAGACCTCTTTCGCTCCTCCATGTTTCCTGCTTCTCCAACACCTCTTCATTCATCCTGGTGGCATTGGGAGCTGTGGTGTGTCACAAGGTATACACTTTTGTACAATCAGCTTTACGAGCAAATGTTCATTGCAATGAGGCACTGGTCTCCTTCAAGGCCTCTGGGCATGCCAGGCAAGTACTCTCCCGAGGCAGACAAGCACAGAGAATAACTTAGCAACCAAAACTCCACATGGTTTGGAGTATGCACACACACCCTTTTTGTGAGGATGCACTTGGAAGACTGCTTCCTTTACCTGTGTGTCCTATGCACACAGCCATCTCTGAAAATGCACTCACCACCTTAGGACTCCCCCAGAACACCTGCATCCAACTACACCTCCCTCAACAATAACGTAAGTATCTCCACTCCTAAGAATCAGATTTAGAGAGCTTCTAATCAAGCACATTCTCAGTGTGTCCAGGTAGGAAAGGTGAATGGGTGGACCCAGGCTGAACTAGTTTTTGTGTATGCGCAGAAAGGCAAACTGTGTCCTCCAGAGAACTTTAGGGAGAATCCTGTGTTAACTATCTCGAGCCTATGCATAATTGGGAATGTTTATGAGAAAAGTTAAATACATTGTGGGAAGGGACATGGGCATTGAAAAAAATGAATGTGACTTAATTATATGAATCAAGATAGAGAACTTCCCAAACTATGCCCCTTAGTGTCCTCCTTCATGTAAACCCAGTACACAGAGACAGCAGGCTGTAGCTTGGGGCCCCGAGTCCTCACATGACCCACGGTTAATCTTGATGATGTACCTCTCTATAGAGTATACTATCCCTTCTTTCTGAATAAAGTCTGAGAGACTTTCTTTAATTCAGTGGATGAGAGAACCAAGACCTGGACACACCCAACCTAGAGCCTGCCCAGTGATTCTGCAACTGGGCAGCATCCCTAGAGCCTGCCCAGTGCCTCTGCTACTGAGCTGCATCCCTAGAGTCTGCCCAGGGACTCTGCCACTGAGCTGCATCCCTAGAGCCTGCCCAGGGACTCTGCCACTGAGCTGCATCCCTAGAGCCTGCCCAGGGACTCTGCTGCTGAGCGGTATCCCTAGAGCCTGCCCAGGGACTCTGCTGCTGAGCGGCATCCCTAGAGCCTGCCCAGGGACTCTGCTGCTGAGCTGCATCCCTAGAGCCTGCCCAGGGACTCTGCTGCTGAGCGGCATCCCTAGAGCCTGCCCAGGGACTCTGCTACTGAGCTGCATCCCTAGAGCCTGCCCAGGGACTCGGCTACTGAGCTGCATCCCCAGGCCCTGTTTGCCCATTCGGACAGGATAGGCTGATCCTCCTGGTTCTGTCTTCCAAGAGCTGGCACTACAGGAGGTTGACAAACCACGCCTAATCTATGCTTGCCACATCCTTTATGCTTTCTCTACATGTGTACAATGCTCCTTCCAGAAGATACCAATGGTGTTGCTAGGTGCTCGGGACTTCACACTGAAATGTTAAGGTGTCCTTCATGGACTGCACTAGTTTGTCTGTCTCCGCTACTGAAGGTGGAGCCTTTCATCACATCCTAACAACCACGGGTATATTCAGTGTTACTCTGACTAGCTCTTCTGTACTTGGGCACTACATTTTACATCCCCTTCCCCTTACAACTTCAGTGAAAATCAACATACACTGTGAGTTGCCTGTTAAAGGAGTTTGGCCCAGCTTTGCAATGACTTGGATTTTTTTTGTTGTTATTGATTTTGGGTGAGTTTTAAACTCTTTTAGCTTTCATCATGTAAGCCATGTTGTGTTCTTCCACAGTGTTCTTTGTACAGAAATTATATCTACATTGTTTAATCATCTTCAACTTGAATTTTTTTAACAAAGTCATATTTGCTAATTATGTTTCTGGTCTTTGTGTTTTATAGAAAATTTTTCTGTATTTGAAACCATTATTGACTTGCATATTTCTCTCTTTTTTTCTTTCTTGGTTTATTGTTTTCTTTTGAGACAGAGTCTCGTGTAGCCAAGGCTGGCCTTTACCTTCTGTGTAGCTGAGGATGACCTTGAACTGAGTCTCCTGTCTCCATCACCCCAGGGCTGGGATTAAAGCAGACATGATCATGCCTGGCTGTCAAATGTATTTCTAGTATTTCATATTTCTTTACATAGTTCTTCAGCAGTCTGGAATTTGTGACTGGTATATTATCTTTTATTCTCTGTAGCTCCAAGATCCAGGTTCTTACAGAAATACAGAAACTATTCTTCCAGTCTTCTTTAGACCCACAAATAATGGAGTTCGCTTTCCCCCAAAACTCCATTCCAGCTCCGGGAATGAGAGTAACCCAATGAAGAAACTCATTTGCAAGGCTGAGAGTCAATCATCTCCAAGGACTTGGGCAGGATAAACTGGAGACAGACAGGGGACACTTGGAGCTATCAAACAGGGGGGAGGTGGTAATTATCTGTGAGGGAACGGGAAGTGAGCGTATTGATTAGAATGGATAGCACAGGCTAACTAAACTGGAGAGGCTGCCATTGCTGGGACTGACATCCTAAGGCCCAGGAGCTGAACCAGGCTGCCCCTTCTTTCTGTTCTTCATCAGCCTAGAATGGTTTTTGTTCAGCAGAGTCAAGATGTAGTGTCAGAAAGATCAGAAGTTCAAGGTCAGCCTGGGCTATATAGTTAGTTCAGTCCCAGCCTGAGGCAGATGAGACTCTGTTTTAAAATGAAATATCAAAATAAGTAATATCTTACGGCATATGAAATATATAAATTCAATTTTCAGTGACCATAAATAAAACTTCCCTAAAACTCAGTCATCCATTAGCACACTGTGCTAGTTTTGTGCTGTGCAAGCAGAACCAAATTCTGTGGGGCTGGGGGAGGACCACTCCGTGAAGGATGAAATTTTGTTGGGAGTTAGGACAAGGCTGTGCTACAGGGGGTGTATAAGATAATCCACGGCACACGTGACAGTGTCACCTCTAACATGGAGAGGACGGTTCTTTACCTGGGCTTACTCTGGGCCCCTCCACTTCCTGTACTGAAGGACACCCTGCAGGCCAATAGCACCCTTGGCAGCTGTGGGTCTGAGAACTGGTTCATTTGTTGTGGCTGCCATTGTCTCACACCCTGGGGTGATGAACAATGCACCTTAATGAGCCCACAGTTCTGGAGGCTACAAGTGTGAGATGCAGTGTGAGCAGGCCCAGTTCCCTCTGAGGGAGGCACCTGTTCCAGGCTGCTCTCCTGGCCTCCAGCAACCCCTTCTCACAGAGTTGGGTGACTTCACTGCTCACTTGCATTCTTGCTGGGTGTGTCTCTGTTTCCAAATTTCCCCTTTACAGCATGACACCAGCCATACTGAATTAGGGTCCTCCACTTCATTGTGACCTCATTGTAGGCCATCGTGTCTGCAGTCATCTTGTTTCTGAGACAGTGGGGTGTGAGTGGGGAGTTAGGACTTCAGTGGGTGACTTTCAGAGAGATGCAGTTCAAGTCAAGCTATGTAAGGCCCTAGCTTCCTGGAACAAATTAGTGTTCAGGGAACTCCTTCCTCTTCCTGATTTCTGCTGTGCCTGTAATATGGAGGGTACTCCCGTCTAGTCATTTCTCTCTTATCAGGCAGCCATCACTAAGCCTTCACAGAAGAGGAGAGTCTGGGGCCTGATGGAAGCTAGGTGGTCACAGGTGCTTGCTGCTTTCCAGACTGCCAGTCTGACCCCCAAGCACCCATGGTGGGCAGCTCACAACCAGAGTCTCGGCATCTGGTCACATCTTCTGACCTCCTTGGGAACACACACACACACACACACACACACACACACACACACACACACACACACACACACACAAAACCAGCGTCATGGATGGGAAGCCATCAAGCAGAAATGTTTCAACACAAAGATCTCTTTATTAATTTTACATAATAAAGTATGAAGTGGAGAGTTATTTAAAGTCTTTTGCTGTTCCTCTTGAAGACATGGTCTGAAAGTGAGAAAAGAAATCATGAAATGTTCACCTGATGTTGAATATAAAACAAGTAATGTTTTCCCAAGTGGCCCCAAATGTGTAAGCATGCAAAACAACCCTCCCCCAAATCCTCATTTTCTCTAGTTCTTTTTTCCTAAACTGGGTCTTTGCCTTTTACCTCACTCATGTGAAGGGCTGTACTGGCATCCTGAATCATTTCCTGCATGAATAAGGGCACATGTGTACTGAACCCCTGAGCCATCTCTCCAGCCCCCTGGTTCTACCCCACAATGGCTAGATGATTTGGGATGACCTGATTATGAAATCCATCGTCTCCCTCTCTCCCAGAAGACAGGAGGAGTTGGGTGCTAAGTTGAAATAAAGGATTGGCCAAGACTAATGCAAGATGGCTCCTCTCTGCTGCCCTGCTCTGCTGTGTAAGTGAAGGGTAGGAGTTGGGACTGCACACTTGCTCCATGGTTGACAGTCTCCTCTCCAGTTGAGGGAGGTTCCACTTGAGCAAGGGGTGACAGCCTCTGTCAGGGTTCTGCCTATGTGACTCTAAGGCACTTTCTGTAGGAGATCTGGGAGATACAGCTATGGGAGGAAGACTGTGCATAATCCTGGGAACAGGGGCAGGATACAACTGACAGCTGGGCATGGGGGATGACTGCCTGGGATCGGATCCCCAGACATTGGTAGCTGCAATGAACTTGACATAGTGGGATTCCCCATCAATGCTCCCTGGGCAGAGGCATTTACTAGGCACCTGAGCTGTGGAAGATGGCAGCCTCTGTGGCTTGTTGGTTAGTGCTGAGGCAGAAGGAAAGGCTGTGGCTGTTAATCACTCTGACGTCATCAAATAGGAACAGCAACGAGAGAGCCTAGCTTTTGTGTAGGTCTTGCACTGATGTGAAGTACCGCTGCAGGAGGCATGGGGGCCTCCTTGGTAGGAGATCTGCAGATGGAGTGGAGTCTGGGGACATCCCTCGGTTGAATGGACTTCTGTCCTACAGAGAGGTTTGTGGCCCCACCCCAGCAGAGACAGGAAAAGGCAAGTTGTGTTGTATACATCCTGTCCTGTGTCTCAGCACACCAAGAACTTCTCACCCCATCCCGTTTAGGTGCTGTTGGCATGGGGAAGAGCAGGAAGTGGGCAAGGAGGAGAGGATGAGGGCTGGCAGTGGCTGACTCTGGGAGTGGAGGGCAGCCTGGAAGTGGGAGTGGAGGTGAGAGTCACCAGGTGACTTAGAAAAGATGCCCCTTCCTCAAGACACTGCTCTTCTGTCTGTCAGAACATCACCCTGATGTTCAGCCCTGGTTTGTTCAGAACAAGATGGCTGCTGATGTACTGAGTGCAAATCCCCACTGTCTACGGCGGGAACAGCTTCCCTAGGCCTTGAGTGGTGAACAACTGTGAGATTTTACTAAGAGACAGACCCAGTTTCCGGGAAAACTTGACTCTGCCATTTCAAGCCATTTGGGACCTCAATTTTCCCATTTAAGAAATGGTTGTTGAGAAGATTAGATACAACGTGTCTAAGCTTCTGAGTACATACTGAACCCTAAGCATGCTGCAAAGGATATTGACCATAGGAAATGTGAAGGGTAGGGTCCTGTAAGAGGAACATTTGGGGCATGAGAAGCAAGGGGCAGCTGCACATCCCACCTCACCTCACCTCTCTCCTCAGGCATTGGGCTCCATAGGCGGAGAATGCCAACTTCTGTTGGTATAGTGTCGGCCTCCTTTGAGTTCAGTCATTTATGTTTTTTTAGTGGATTTTATAGGCTGCAAGGGACAAAAATATGTCCTGTTAAAAAGAGTCTAGGTGGGGAGGAAGACCCTGCTGTGAACTTGACTGCCATACATGGCATCAGAGGACAACACACATGTCCTCTCCCTATACTCCCAACCAACATTCTCCCAACCCACAATTTTCTGGCATTCGATGGAAATAGGGTGAACTTATGGATATAAATTGTCAGAACTTCTTTGATTAGCATTTAAGCTCATGGGATGTGATCTAGAAATGAGTAGAGCATATTTAAATGGTCCCCAAACAAACGCTAAGATCAAGGAAAATTCTGGTTCTCTGCCCTGAGCTGGACACAGTGGTACAGACTGGGACCAATAATGGTACAGACCTATAATCCCAGCACTCAGAAGATAGAAGCAGAAAGATGCTGAGTTTGAGACCACTCAGGGATACAGGGCAAGATGCAGGCTCAATATAAATGAATGGGTAAATGAATGAGTGAATGGATAAATAAAAGAAGTAACCCGAAGCAACGGCAGAACCATGGGCCAAGGTTAACAATCAACCTCCACAATGGACCATTGGAAAGGCCTGTAGCAAACACTTGACAGCCCAGCCCTTGCCATGAACAGATCAGGAGACTCCCCTTCCAACCTCACTGGGACATGTAATGCTGTATATGGAGAGGCAGAACTAAGGAGCAGACAAAGAGAGGGACTCTGCTGAGCCTGAGGCACAAAGCTGCCAGGAAAGGCAGGAGAGGAGAGAACAGAGGCAGAGTCCACTGGCTTCCCTGGGAGGTGCAGGCTTCCTGGGGAGGGGCAGATGACAGGACCCACAGCCCTGGATCTCTGTTATCACCTGTCCATCGCTCACACAGCCCACGGGCAGCTGGCACTGCCGCCTGGAACTGTTGCCCCGAGGAGGTGAAGCTGCCCTGGCTCTGGTAAAGGATTTCACTGACTTGCCCCAGTTCAGGCCTCTCTGTGGAGGACTCTGAGAGCATGGAGCACTGTGACTGAGAGACCCTGTGACTGAGGATCTTGCCTTGTGCCCCATTTTCCCCCCACACTCTCCACACAGTAGAGGTTGAGCTTAGGGGATGCATCCTCAGCCCTGAGACAATGAGAGCATCTTCCTTCAGAGCTGAGAGGTGGCTCTGGAGACCAGATGTCTGTTAGGGGACTTGGAGGTGGAAGCGCTGAGGCCTTGAGACATGAAGCCTGGCTCCAACAAGTGCTCTGGAAGCAGAGAGTACCTGAAAGAGATGTCACATACCTTCCTCTTCTGCACAGAGACAGTCTTAGTTGGAGGCTTATTGTTGGTTATAGAATGCTTAGTTGGGGGCTTTTGGATAGCTCGCGTAGGCTTGCTGTACTCCAGAGTTATTGTCTCTGCAAGGTCATAAAAGACAGAGTTAGAAGAGCAGGCAACCCAGGGGACTCCCACTCTCATTCCAAATCTATAGGAATAAGGCCTTTGGCTTCTGACAGAGAAGGTCAGCGGCAAGGCCTGCTGATATCTTTCCAGGTAATTGTTTTTTAAACACAGGTACTCATGGTTGCCCCGACTCACTAGACAGCTGACAGTGGCCTTACAATTCTAATTCTCCGTCTGTCCCTCCCCGGGCTGGGATTCCTGGCATGTGTCACTATGCCTGGTTTACGTGGTGCTGGAGTTTGCACTCTATAACTGAGCTGAATCCCCAGCCACCAAGTCATTTAGTATAAGGACCATCCTCTGGCCTGACCACCCTTCCCTCCATGGCTCTCTGCTTCTCACTCACTCTCCTTCCCCATTCCCTCCTCCTTTGGATCTTGGAATGGGAACACTATATCCTCCACAGTAGAGGGTCCAGAAACTTTACCTTCCAAATCAATTACCCCTGAGGTGATGAGGGGGCCACCAGTAATGGGCCAGGACAGCATGCAGAAAGCAGGGCCATCCAGATGAACCTGAGCTGACTCGAGCATCCTGTGACCTCTGAGTCAAGGCTCTTAGAAGATCTACTGAAAACCCCCTTCCTGCCATAGGGCTTTGCAACTTCAGAGCACATGCGTGCTTTTACAGGATGGAGGTTGATGGAAAGCACATAGGCTGACAGCAGGATCAAGGATCCTTTCACAGCTGAGATGCTGGAAGCAGAAAGTGATGTGACAGCCTGCAGGTCATGAGTAACAGCTGGCACAAGAGTCCATTTAGATCACATGCTGACCAGTGCCATTTCCACTGTTTCTGGAGAGGCCTCATCCGGTCAGTAATAACACAAGTGACAAGAGACCAAACAGCCAGAACAGTCTGCTCTACCTCTCCTCCCTCCTCAACCTCAGATCTTGAACAGCAGCTGACAGCTGGACCAGACCTTCAGTCCTAAGACCCATGCCTCAGTAAGACCCACGCCTCAGTAAGACCCA